GGGGGGGGGGGGGGGGGTTAGGGCTCGGGACTGTCAGCAGGCGGGCCAACCGGACGGCGCCTGAAGAGCTGTCCATGGTGTCTCCTCGCCAACAGCGCTCTGTTCCCATCTGAGCGTCTGGATAAGCAAAAGAAAAACTAATGCCTGCTTTGGAACAACTCTGTCGGCTGCCTTTTCTTCTGGCGTGTTCCAGAGCTCTCAGGAACACTGTAGGAGAGTGCCCAGTTGTGCAAACGGTGGAGACTCGGATGTCACAAACCAGGACCTCAAGACTGAGTTGAAACATGGCTGTACTCAGGCAACTATGTTTGTCACTGAATGGCGAAAAGCTTTCGTCAACCACGCAGTTTAATAACGGAAGGCGTCCTAACCCTTTCGTTTTTTGATTTTTTAACAAATCACGCTATATGGCTAATATCAATGTGTCCCACGGACGTTTCATTCTCTTCCCACTCAGTAGACCTAAATATGGAAAGGAAGTCAAAGCCAACGGGGCCAAAAGGAATTGAAATCCTGAAGAACCCAGAACTCTGAGAAACTGTTTCTGCTTGCCTTTGTTTTTTCTTAACCTCTTCCCCTTCTTGCCTTTATTTTAGGAGCAAAAGCAGAATTTAAACTTGTTATCTTGCACAAAGTCATTTCCCCCGCCAGGCCCTGTCATGTGACTTGATTTAACATTTCTTCATCCATTTTAGAGAAGCTGGACCCACCCTGGTTTCAGGATACTAAAGTAGCTCTAATTCGTTAGAAAAAGAAGCCATTTCTTTTCTAGAAGGAGAGATGCAAAGACACATTTAGTTCTGAGAACTGGAGGGGATTTCTCATTTAGTACTATTTACTTAGAAAAAGGTGTTTTTGATGTTAGTAGTGGTTACTGACAACAGCCTCAGAATTAAACCTAATTTAAACTGCTAGACTGTGGTTGCTTTTTTTTTCCCAGAAGAATCCATCTCAATTAGAGATTGCATTTGACGGAAAAAAAGTAGATGGGAGTGGGTGAGAATGGAAATTTTATTTGCCTATTCAGTTATAATGCCTCTCTAGCCCTGAAGGCATGGCAGATGTATGCACCAGAAAAACATATGGAAGGATATTTTGCTCCAGGAGAGATGTTGATGTTATTGAGTACTTTGCTTGGGAGTTGTTTTTTATGACAGCTGAGATCCAGAAAAGAGAAGTTGTTAAAAAATTACTGTTTCGAGTAGAGTTGGGACCGGAAACCAAACTTGCCCACCCCAAACCTAAGCTCACTTCCATCATGCCTGTCTGGGAGGCTGCAATGAAGAGTCCCCCACACCTCCACCCCTACTTCTCAGAGTGGGAATTGTGGGTACCGGGCTCTTTTAGAAGCAGGTGTTCTGCCTACTTCTGATTTCTTTTGATTTGGGACTAAGGAGAGTAAGGTCAAAGTTTCTTGGTTCTGGGTGTGAACTGCTATTTCTTTCTTCAAAATAAACTGGGCGGAGGCAGGAGTGATAAGCAGGACTCATTCCTAGAGCTGTCAGAAGGCCACAACCTTTCCAAATCCTTTCAACATGGATCATTTTAGTCATGAATAAGCATGCCCAGGGTTTGAAAACTCAAAGGCCATTAGTGACTTCTATAGAATGTAATTCCTTCTTTTTCTTGTCCCTCTTTACTACTTACGCTTGTTACAGCACATGAAAATAGCCAAATTTTCACCAGGTTTGAAGAGCGTCGGTGGGGGTTGGGAGGGGAGAGCACTGACTTAAAATACAAGTTACGTGGCACACACAAACTTCTTACTGAGGTCTTAAGGGCCCACAGAGATGTGCTGACACTTTCTTGACCCTTCAAAATGAGCAATGAGGCCTGTGGGTAGGCTCAAAATTAGCACATCCTAATCCCTGGGACATGTGAATGTTAATTTATAGGGAAAACAAGTCTTTGCTGCTGTGATTGAGTTAAGGATCTTGAGATTATTTTGCTTTCTCTGGGCAGGCCCTAAATGCAATCACAGCTGTTCTTATAGGGTGGCAGAGAGAAACTAGATACACACAGAGGCAATATGAAGACAGAAGTAGAGACGGGAGCAAGGTGGCCACTAGCCAAAGAATGTCAGCAGCCCCCAGAAGCTGGGAGAGAGCAGGAAGCATTCTTCCCTAGAGCCTTTGGCACGTGCACTGCCACCACCTTGATTTTGTACTTCCGGGTTCCAGCCCTGTGAGAAATGCCCTATTGTTTTAAACTACCCAGTTTGTGATCACTTGTTACAACAGCCACAGACAATTAATGTAAGACTTAAGTGACTTTCCATCAGGAGAGAACCTGAGGTCAGCCAAACAGCCCCAATGCCATTTTTAAAAACTGTACCACGTTACAAGACTACAAGTGTTGACAGATGTCTTAACACGAATTAGTAGTAGGGCCTACTTTTCCGTACAGCCTGAATTTTATCAAAATGGTAGAAAACAACTGGCAAACTTGGGGAATACGAACGGCCTCATTCAGTTCTCTTTAACAGGCTCTTGTTCAGGTTACATACACCAGAGCTAGCTTTTATATCAGGATCTGCAGAGAGCTATTAGTATATAGAAAGGGGTGACTTCTTGTTGAAGAGAAACTAGTGGTCCTGAGGGGCAACACAAGAGTAGGTTCCAAACAGCATTAGCTGTTTCCTGTGCATGAGCTTACGGCAATCAGTGAAGAATGAGACTAACTTGGCAAAACAGAAACCCTGTAAGTAGAAAATATAGTCAGCTGGAGAGCAGAATCATTGTGAAAATAAAATCAAACAAAAACTTCAAAGACTGAAAAACTGCTCATGCACACATCAAGAAACTTGTGTGACAAAAAGTTTTCGTTTCAAAACAACAGACCGACTCCAAGGAGCTCAAGTGAAGGGGTTTGTTTTCACGACACGCAAGATTCTCATGGAAATCAAAGGACCTGAGCAGTACAGCAAGGCCCGACCTCACTGAGATGGGGGCTAGAGGGTGTCACCTGTCAACCTGGATCTTGGTCCCTAAACAGGTGTCTCTGGAATTTCAACACCTAAGGTTACATGCAAAGGTAAGCTTTCATGGGCAAGGTGGTTTTGTAGAGTGGCTTAAGATGGCTTCCACAGAATTTGTCAGACCTTTCACCCTTCACTATGTGTTTTGGATCATCAAGCACAGGATATAGAATGTATTTACCTGAAGATCTTTTAAAAAATTTTTTTCAACGTTTTTTATTTATTTTTGGGACAGAGAGAGACAGAGCATGAACGGGGGAGGGGCAGAGAGAGAGGGAGACACAGAATCGGAAACAGGCTCCAGGCTCTGAGCCATCAGCCCAGAGCCTGACGCGGGGCTCGAACTCACGGACCGCGAGATCGTGACCTGGCTGGAGTCGGACGCTTAACCGACTGTGCCACCCAGGCGCCCCTGAAGATCTTTTTAAATAAGAGCCCCAAAACTAAGGACCACTGTATATGGGCATTCTCAGTGACCTGCATGATTGGTAATATCCAAGCCCCAGCCCTAGAAGAAAGCCAATATAAATTACTGGGGCCTGAAGGCCCAGAAGCAGGCCAGGGGCCCGTCAACATTGCACATCAAAACCAATTCCAGGTAACAATTTTTAGCCCGTCTGCCTTTGCCAGGCAGTCTGAAACCACTCTCAGCAACTGAATCGGGTATCCATACAGTTTCCATTTTGGAGGGCAGTCTCCAAAGCATTTTGGACAATGACAGCCTTACCAAAGCAGAAGGTCTCCCAAACATTCAGTCATACTTCATTCTTACTACAAGTAGAAGTTATTGTTCTCATTTTCATTTACTTGAAACAACAAACCAAAATTGTGGTTACAGTCAGTGATTACAGTTACAGTGTGGTTATAGCAAAAGTCCCTTTACTATGTGGATATCACCATGTCAGAGAGGAGTTCTGGTAACCAGACAGAAGTAGCATCTTACATAATGCACTTTGGAGCTCTACAACATTTGGCCATTTTTTAGGATTTCATGACTTCAAGAGAAATTAGCATTTAAAACAAAATTAGGCACTTATCAAAACTCACTGCACTGTATACACTTAAATTTAAGGGGACAGACTTTACTGTTTAGAAAATCATACCTCAATAAAGCTGGCTTTAAAGAAATTCGGGAGCTTTACATTTTAGTCTAGTCTCATGAGGAAAAGGTGCTCACTGAGGCTTGTGTAGTTTGGGGCCAGTTCTGGGTGATAAGATTATTACGGCAGGCAACAATGGCTCAGGTCAACTGAAGCCCTCTGGGGGATGACATGGAACATACCTGAGAGATTAGAAGTTGGCCTGGTAGCCATGAAATCATGCCCTTCCCATGTCCCACAAGGAGATCCTGGGCATCAGTGAGCCAGAGTGGCGGAGAGACGAAGGACAGCTCCTGAAGACCTGAAACTCCTCAGAGCTGAGACTCTGGGTTGAGGAGGCCTGGTCAGCCTTGTATCTGAGACTTTAATTCCTTCCATTTCTGCTCGAGAGGCCATGATCTCCGTTCTCAGGCTCCCCTGGCCTCCTCCAGCCCCTTCTTCTTTCCCCCTTATTGTCGCTCCCCCTCAATAATCTCTTGTACGTCTACTGCTAGCTCGGCAATTGCTCCCCAGAGGCCCCCAACTACTGGGTATTTCTCTTTCCACCCCCTTCTTTGCCCGAGGGCTGTTCCCTGGGACATCAGCTGCTGGACACTCCAGCCTGCCACACAGGCCCAGAGAAAGCCCTCGGGCAGAGGTGCAGGTGTGTGCAGGAATCCAAGCATCAACAGCAAGATGGGGGGTTGGGGCCAACAGCACTGGTGTAATGCAGCAATCAGTCTTTATGACTAGGGTTTATATGGTCTCAATAAAAATAACTTTCCTTCGGGAAAACCTTTCTCACGCATTCTAGAGTTGATTTAGAAGACTCCTCCAAAAGGAAAAACTGAAAAAGCAAACCCTTAGCTTTATTAAAATGTCACCCTCTATTCACCTTTGCCAGTTCCCTTCATAAGAAAGGATGTCCTTTAGACATTTCAGGAGAATTTTTTCCTGGTTGAGACAGGGGAGCCACTTGCCTTACGCACACGTCTATGTTAAGGTCACCTTCTGTCAAGGTCCCAGTGTGGTAATCAAGCCCATTCCTGAAACCGAAACAGCCTGCTCGGCTGCAGAGGATAACAAGTCTCAAAGCTGACTGCAGGAGTCCTTACAAGTAGACACAGGAAAAGCCATCAGTCGGATGGGTTTGGAAACACAAATTTAAGGCACAAATGATGTGCAGGTCATGTGTGTACATGTTTGTATGTTTGATTCCATTGAAGTTCTCATTTCAATTCTACTTAGAATTAATGTTTTCTCATTTCAATTCTGTTTAGAAGGCCACTACCGTGGAACAGAATGAGTATGCAGGGATAAGTAATGTTCCTACAATAAAGATAAAACTGACAGGGGCGCCTGGGTGGCTCAGTCTGTTGGGCGTCTGACTTTGGCTCAGGTCATGATCTCCCAGCTCGTGAGTTTGAGTGCCGCATTGGGCTCTGGGCTGACAGCTCAGAGCCTGGAGCCTGCTTCCGATTCTGTGTCTCCCTCTTTCTCTGCCCCTCTCCCACTCACGCTCTCTTTCTCTCCAAAATAAAGAAGCTCTAAAAAAGTTAAAAAAAAAAAAAAAGATAAAACTGAAGTGCATGTTTTCTATTCTAATTATTTGACCTGACCAAGAGCACACATGCTAAGAGTCTCACCGTATCAGAGTCCTATGAAATGTTCTAACTAAAATTAGTCACCAGCAAAATACAACAAAGGATCTATTTAAAAATTAATTTAATGCTTGGCTAAAGCTTAATTACATATATAGTTATCAAACAATAGTCCTTAATTTCCAAAAAGTTCCTCTTGAAAATCACAGAATCAGAAAGCATAAACTTTAAAACAAGTTCTCTGAATATTTACAATGTGGTATAAACATTATAGAAGACCAAGGATCTTAAATTGCCTGGGTGTAGCTCGTCAGCAAGGCGTATTCTTTATTGCATATATAACTCACATATGTGGGATTTTAAATAAAATGACAGACTACGAAAATTCAAATGCATGTATTTTTGTAAGCTGGTCAGGGGGGTAGACTCATGAATGAGACAGGACACTCAGCCCAAAACCATGCAGTTAGGTTTGTGGGGCTGTTATTTCCCAAAGTTAAACTTCTGTGTGTTCTTTTCAAAAACCTATGTTGCATATATTATTCAGAGTTCATATTAAACCCTCATTAGACTGTAATGCTGATTCAAGGAAGAAAGTTTCCATTCACCCGATGACTAAGTCCACACTCCACTCTCAATTTTAAGGCAGCAAAGCTACAGTGATAGCAACTGCTAACCAAAAGGTGACGAACACTTAGTCACTTGCCAGCCCTTTTGCTGCAACAGGGTAGTAATTCCCTAAGACAACTTGCTACTGAGTAATAATCTGCTGTTAAAAGGCTTACTCTGTAGAAAAACACCACAAATTTCCAGTGTGAAAGTAACTCCACGATGGTATAAATATATATATGCATAATTACACAATTTACACTGCACACATCGTTTACAGAGAACAATTAACTGAGAGGTTAATTTGAATAACCATATAAAATATTTCTGTAAACAAAGTATGACAGGCAGTAAGGAAACATTAACAGGCTTCCTAGAAATAATGTGAATTCCTTCCATTCCAAAGAAATTGCATTTAAGGACACAGTCTTGAATATTAATAATGTTCTTTGTATTAAAACAAGAATCAATATTTTACAGTTTAAGAAACTTTACATATATACAACATTTATACACTGGGAATGGTATTAAAGCAAACAGGCTTTTTTAGTCTCACAGATCTATTTTCCTTCAATCAAAGACTTAAATTCTTTCACATTGTGGTCACTTGCAACAGACATAGCATGATCCAGAGCGCGAACACTTGCAAGGAGTTTTACTATCTGTTTTATGTTTTCCCTAAAAAAGAAAAAAAAAAAAATGCAGCAACATTTCATTAATTAGTACAAAAGCCTTCGAAGGAGAATTTGTTTTTGACTTTATGACCATTTTTGAGGTTTGCAATCCATTTTTTCAAGCACACATTTTTAAAGAAGACAGAAATAAGCAAACTACGGCATATAAAAAAAATTGTCCATATAAAAGCAAAGCTTGTATAGTTTAAAGGACTAGCCCAGAGATCAAGGATCCACTTTCTAAAACAAAAAGACCCCCAAATTTCACTCAGATCAATTCTATCATTCACAGCTAGAAAGGAAAGAAAGCGATCTGCTGCCAAACTACTTTCAGAGCCCTGCCCTTTCCCGCCCAAACCAGGGTCCGAGCTCTTTCAGATCATATCTGCAACACAAATCATATTTGTGTCTTCATCCCCAATCCATCCACCAACCCAGCATAATCTCCACTCTACCAAAATTCACTAAGAGGGGCGCCTGGGTGGCGCAGTCGGTTAAGCGTCCGACTTCAGCCAGGTCACGATCTCGCGGTCCGGGAGTTCGAGCCCCGCGTCAGGCTCTGGGCTGATGGCTCAGAGCCTGGAGCCTGTTTCCGATTCTGTGTCTCCCCCTCTCTCTGCCCCTCCCCCGTTCATGCTCTGTCTCTCTCTGTCCCAAAAATAAATAAACGTTAAAAAAAAAAAAAAATTCACTAAGAAAGCAGTAAACTGGCTTCCTCTATCACCCCGGCCAGCAGTCATTCTGTGTAGCCCTCAAATTTTAGCATACATCTAAGTTACCTAGAGGGTTGCTGAAACCCAGATCCCCAGGCCCCCTACCCAGAATTCTGATTCAGTAGGTCTGGGGTGGGGCCTGAGAATTCGCATTTCTAACAAAGCTCCCAGGTGAGGCTGATGCTGCGATTCAGGAACCACTTTCAGAATGACCACTTATTTGAACCAAGTGTGAGAAACAGCACACAATGTGACATTAGCTGTCTCTTTTCCTCTGCAAATTGTAGCAAGCACTCTTTAGGGAAGGATTATAATTTGTAAAACTTTGTAACCCACATGGAACTTATTTTACGGTGTGTGGCACACAGCAAGTGCTTACAATAGCTGTTGAAGTTCTTTTCTGTAGAAAAATAAACACCGTTTGTTGACATTTAACTTCCTAACAAAAAAGACTATTTTTTAAAAATGTTTTTCTTTATTTTGAGAGAGAGAGGGAGAGAGAATGCACGTGTGCTCAGGGGAGAGGCAGAGAGAGAGAGAGGGAGAGCCCACTCAGGGCTCAATCTCAGGAACCCTGAGATCACGACCTGAGCCAAGATCAACAGTCAGACGCTTAACTGACTGAGCCAACCACCCAGGCGCCCCAAAACACTGTTAAGTACACACACATTAAAGTTTAAAAAGTGAATAGGACTTATCTAGCAAAAAAACACTGGGAAGAAATATTAGTGCCAAGAAATAACAACACCAAAGATGAAATTAAAATATAAATCAAAATCACCTGCTGAAAGAAGTTTACCACTAAAACCTTTACTGCCTACTTGGTTTTTTAATCTTATTGTAAGAGATAGCAAATTTTCTTTTAAGAAAAGAAGGTTCTTTTCCATGGAAGGGAAATGAAGGAAGCGAAAAAACGTTTTGTTACAGGGGTATGACTAACGGTATGTATTCTGAAAATGAAAACTGTGACATTTGGAAGAATTTATGAAACTTTAAAAAAAATTCTTTCAAATTTACTTGTTATTCTTACTTTTTATGCTAGAGATTTGTCCCAAAATTACACGAACATCCAAGACAAGGTCCCCAGAAAGGTACAATGGTTCCTTTATTCACTCCTTCTTTGCAACCCCTGGCAAAAAATATGTACAAGCTGCTCCCCCAAAATCATGAGGGATGACCTTCAGTCTATGATATGGATACCAAAAAACTCAACACAGAACACAAATGTCCCCAAATTGGCATATCATCTTTAGTACACTTTAAGTTTCAGTGACTGGCTTTTTGAGGGTTTACATCTATATAACGAACCCCCAGAGATTAAGATCCAGGACATTCCAACAGCCTGAAATCTCCCCAATTCTTCAAGGGAAGAGGCAGAGAAAATCTCCTTAGGGATGCTAGCTACTTAATGAAGTCTTTCTTAACACCTTCATAAATAACATACTGAAAAAAGCTTAGGTGAAACACAAAAATGAAAAATGATGTGTTTTTGGTAGGTTTGCCAATACAACATCAGTGTACACAATTTAAAGTAAAATACAAACGTGACTCTAAGACATTTTAATAATAAATGTGACAAAAACTAAAGACTCTAGGTCACCGTTTCATTCAACAATCGCAGAAAATTACCTTGCATTTCTTTTTTCCACATCAGAACATCCGATACTGTTTCTGTAGATTGTGTCTGCTAAGTGCACAAGGTATCGACAGAAGTTTTCTAACTGAGAGATAGTTCTTTCTCCTTTCAGATTCATGAACCACTGCTTGGGGAAACAATTGATTACCTATGAAGAAGAAAGATGTAAAATGAAACAGAACAAAATAAAGTGTCTAAAAGCTGATCCCAGACAACGGGTATAATGTACGTAAGTAGCAGGCAGGCTGTTGCACTACATACAGCTAATCACTTGACAGGGGATATCCTCTTAAACCCGACTTCCCACATTAGCTATCCAAATACACCTGAATATATCTGTATTTTTAGCTTCAACAGATTGGTATTCAAAAAAGATAAATAACCTCCAGTATTTAATTAGGGACATAATAGTGACAACACAATTGCTTCACCTTCCTGTCTTCCAGGAATCTCTAAATGAACTGAACTGTCCTTTTATCAGCAGCTTCTGATATAACAACATGTGTGGCATAAACATCATATTGTAAGCCTCCCCATCCAGAACGACTCGGTGAGCAGGCGTCCATGCTGGCCCAGAGTGGGGTCCAGACTGCATCGTACCAGAGGCTGGGGGGCGGGGGCAGCTTAGGGCAAGAGCCTAAGCAAGGTGAACAGGGCAGTGTCAGTACTAAACTCAAGCAAGGTGAGGCTGATCCCCATAGGGGAGAGGGTAGTATACTAGCAGAATTCAGTCCAAGTGGGTAGAGAAGGTTCCCCACTAAGGAACCCAGGGATGCTTGGCAAAATGAGTGATTCCAAAGCTGGCACTAAGCAAGGAGAAGATGAGCCTGGAACAGCAAGTGCCAGAAAGCAAGAAAATGCTCTCTCAAAATGAGACGACATGCTATAAGGTCACAGAAGTCAACAAGGGGCTCTAATGAAGTCTGGGAAAGCTTCTGCCAAAAATGCAGAATTTGAATCCAATCATCAGAGAATATCAAACAAAGCCAAACTGAGGGTCACTCTGCAAAATAACTGGCACATCATCTTTAAAAGTGTTGAGGTTTTATAAAGGCCAAGGAAAAACAAGAACTCTTCCAGATTAAAGGAGACTAAGGAAGACATGATAATTAAATGCCAAGGATGGTCTGGGAATTTCTTTTGCAGGTGATGTGATACTTCGGACATAACTGACAAAACCTGAAGGGTCTCAAAGATTAGGTGACAGTAACAGATAAAAGATGTCGACAGTGACACTGTAATTATGTATAAGAACATCCCTGTCTATAGGAAACGGACATAAAAATATTTGGGACAGGGGGCTATCATGTCACAAACTGACTGTGACATAGTTGAGGGAAAAAACTTTGTATTGCACTTTCAATTTTAAGTTTTGAATTGTTTCAAAAAATACTTTTTTAAAAAGATCCCATTGGAGGTACCTGGCTGGCTCAGTCAATAGAGCATGCAACTCTTGATCTTGGGGTGGTTAAGTCTGAGCCCCACATTCGCTGGGTGTAGAGATTACTTAAAAAAATAAAATCTTTAGGGGCATGTGGGTGGCTCAGTCAGTTGAGCGTCCGACTTCGGCTCAGGTGTTGACCTCAGGGTTTGTAAGTTGGAGCCCCGCGTCAGGCTCACTGCTGTCAGTGTGAAGGGAGCTCCCTTTGGATCCTCTGTCCCCCTCTCCCTCTGCCCCTCCCCCACTGGTGCTCTCTCCCTCAAAAATAAAAACATTAAAAAAAATCTTGAAAATATAAATAAATGAAATTGTGTAACCCCCACATATAAAGTAGAAAAAATATTAAAATGATTTCTTAAACTAGAGAGCCCATTTCTTTAATAACATTCAAAACAACATTCACCCAACCGTTAAAAATTAATTATCCTGAAATTACAACTTTCATTAACACCTACAAAAATGACATAATAGATGGAAAGAAGAATAAATACAAACATAACTATACACATTTTTATGTAAAAAATGTTAAGGGGGTTCAGAACTACTGGGAGGCAAACTGATTGTCAACATTACACCAAGTTCAATAATCAAAGGGGTTTTCTTAAAATTCTAAAATCTCTCTTCAAACAAAGGAAACTTAACTCATTCTCATTTATATGCTTTAAAAACTACAATGTGTGTCATTTAACTCACATTTTGGGCTTTTTTGATGCTGTCATCTCCATATTCTGAATTCTGAAAAGCCATGAGAATGTATCTATTTAATAAACCATCTATTGATAACTCCTGAAGAGTTTTATTTGAGAAAATGCCATACCACTGAAGAAAATTCCCTAATAGCTAGAAAGAGAGAGAAAAAAAAAATTATTTTCCTCCAGATCGAAATATAACTGACACGTAACATTGCATAAGGTGTACAACATAATGATTTCACAGAAGTATATATACCGTATTGTAGAATGATTACCACAGTAGTATCTTTCACCTAATTGTAAATTTTTTCCCATGTGATGAGAACTTAAAAAAATTTTTTTTTTAAAATGTGTATCTTTATTTTTGAGACAGAGCCTGAGCAGGGGAGAGGCAGAGAGAGAGGGAGACACAGAATCAGAAACAGACTCCAGGCTCCGAGCTGTCAGCACAGAGCCTGACAGGGGGCTTGAACTCATCAACTGCGAGATCATGACCTGAGCTGAAGTCAGATGCTCAACTGACTGAGCCACCCAGGCACCCCACCCATGTGATGAGAACTTTTAAGATTTACTCCCTTAGCAACTTTCAAATATACAACACATTATTACCTGTAGTCACCATGTTGTACATTACATACACAGAATTATTTTATCTTATAATTGGAAGTCTGTACTTTTTGACCCCTTGCACCTAATCCCCCCAACCTGGACTCCTCACTTTGGCCATCACAAATCAGATCTCTGTTTCTGTAAGTCTGGATCTTTTTTTTTTACAAGAAGAGAAACTATTGAGGAGTTAAGCAACTAAATTAAGTCAAAGAAACTAGAGTAAAACACACCTTATGAAATACAGTGGACCGTGTCTTGCCAACGTACTAATAAACAGTTTTAAAGGGTCCAAATGTTGCCCCGAATGACTGAAGATCTGAATTTTAAGCTTTAATTAAAATTAACGAATTCTAATGTACATAGCCACATGGAGCTAGTGGCTACTGTATAGGACGGTGCAAAAACAGAACATCTTCCATCATAATAGAAAGTACTACTGGGCAAGTACCGACTCTTAGATAAATGTCCTCCATTCAAAATCATGCTTAAGTGAGTCCCACAACCATCCTTAAAAAGGACAGAATGCATTATTATAAAATGGGAGTCCCCAGCCCATCCCACCATAAAAATTTCCAAGTTTCTCAATATTTCTCATCTCTGTAAATGTTAACATTATCCAACCACCTGATTATTCCCCTCTCCCTCAAGTTTTCTGACCTCACCTCCATCCATTCTGCCCATTTCTCTCAATTCCTGTTGCTACCCCCAATCTAAGCTGCCATAGTCTCTTTCTGGACCCTGCAGTTACTCAAGTGATTATGAGCATATGCTCTGGAGTAGTCTTTCTCAAGCAGGGTTCTGTGAGAGAACTAAAACCTACAGAAAATGATTTGAGTGACCCCTTAATTTTCCCAAGGATGGTACATACCATTCTAGAATCATGGAAAAGAGAATTTATTATGCACAACGGAGGACTCAGGGCTTTAATGATTGTTTCACAGAACCCGGTTGAGAAGAGCTGCTCATCAGTCAGACTGGCCTGAGTCAGACCCCATTTCTACAGTGAACAAAGGAATGATCCTGGGCAGGTTATTCTGGGCCTAACTGTCCCATCAGTGGAGTGGAAACAATAGTTCACAGGCTCTTGTGAGGAATCGAAAAGATAAATGATACAGGACGTAGCACAGTGCTCCGTACGTGGTACATACACGATAAACTTTCATTAGTACTGTTCTTCCCAGCTTTGACCATTAGCCACACAACAGCCAAAGCAACTTGAAAATGGCAATCTGTCCATGTCACTTCCCTGCTAAAAACCCTTCCATGACCCACACTAATTTTCAACAAAGGTACACAAGCAATTCAATAAAGAATGGACAACCTTAGCATTATTTATAATAGCCGAATTATGGAAGCAGCCCAACTGTCCACCGATGGATGAGCGGATAAAGAAGATGTGTGTATACACGATGGAGCATTATCCAGCCATAAAAAAAGGATGAAATCTTGCCATTTGCAACAACACGGATGGAGCTAGAGAATATGATGCTAAGCGAAAGAAATCAGTCTGAGAAAGACAAATACCTATGATTTCACTCATAGATGGAATTTAAGAAACAAGCAAAGGGAAAAACAAAACAAAACAAAACAAAACGACTGAGAGACAGAGACAAACCAAGAAACAGACTCAACTACAGAGAACAGAGTGATGGTTACCAGAGGGGAGGTGGAAGGGTGGGGATTAAGCAGTGCATGTATCATGGTGAGCACTGAGGAACACACAGAATTGCTGAACCACTATATTGCACACCTGAAGCCAATATAATGCTGTATTTAATTATACTGGAATTAAAATAATTTTTTTTAATATAAAAAAGAAAAAGCCTTTGAAAAGCCTTTTCAAACCAACAGTTCTAGAACAAACAAACTTCAATCCAGGCCCCACATCCTATATAAAAATTAACTCAAAAGGGATCGGAGGCTTAAATGTAAACCCCGAAACTAAGAACAATCTAGATGAAAATAGGAGAAAAACTTTGTAGTCCTGTGTTAGGTGAACATTTCTTAGATATGACACCCAAAGCACAACCCACTCAGGAAACGGTCATAACCCGGACTTAATCAAAACAGAATTTCTGTACTTTGAAAAACTGCTAAGAGAATGAAGACAAGCCACATGCTAGGAACGAAAAACTCTTTGCAAATCATGCACCCGATAAAAAATTTGTATCCAGAATACAGAACTCAAAGCTGAGTAAGACATTTTTTTAAAAATGAGCAAAAGATTTGAACAGAGGCTTCACCAGAGAACATACACAAATGGCAAATAAACACATGAAAATCTGCTCAACACCATCGGGCATTAGAGAAATACAAATTAAAACTATTAAAAGGACACCACTATACATCTTGTAGAATGACTTCAAAGAAAAACAACCCAAAACTGACATGGTCTGTGGTGAGAGTGAGGGGTAACTGGGTAACGTTAACGTATCGCTGATCTGAAAAAAACTGCTTTGCCTAGGTATTTACCCAAGTGAAACGTACATAAACTTACGTATCCAGAGAAAACCTGTATGCAAATGCTTACAGCTTTATTCATAATCACTCCAAACCAGAAACAATCCAGTATCCCTCAACTGGGGAATGGATTTAAAAAAATACAGTGGGGCTCCTGAGTGATTCAGTCAGTTAAGCATCCAATTCTTGGGTTTTGGTTCAGGTCACGATCGCACAGTTTGTGGGTTCGAGCCCTACACTGGGCTCTGCGCTGACAGTGCAGAGCCTGCTTGGGCCTCTCTCTCTCTCCCTCTCTGCCCCTCCCACACATTCTCTCTCTCTCTCAAAACAGATTAATAAACTTAAAAAAAAATACAGCAACTTGTGGCATATTCACCTTACAAAGGAATACTACTTGGCAAAAAAAAGAAATAATCTGCCAATAACACATGACAATACTGAGAAATTTCAAATGCATTGTTAAGTGAATGAAGCCAGACTCAAAAGTATTCCATAAATGATTCTATTCATAAGACACCCTTACAAAGACAACCATAGGACAAGAAAAAGGAAGGGGTCGCCATGGTGCAGGGATGGTGTTAACTACAAAGGGGCATGGGAGATTTGGGGAGATGGTAGGAGTGTTACGCATCTTGATCTGGGTGGTGAATACATGTCTATATGTAAATGACAGTGCCTGTATCATCCGGACAGCTCATCTCCTCCCTAAGTCCAGCCCTCCTGGACTTTTCTCAGTTTTCCCAGTGTGTGCTGCTGTCTCTCATCTCAGTGCCAACTCCTATAACCTAAATACCACTTCCTCAGAGTGGTGGTGGAGGATCTTCTGTGACTCACTAGTCAAGGTTTCTGTGCCTCTTGTCATATGCTCCCTTACTTCCTTGAATTTCTCCTTTCACGATTCATCACACCTGAGATAATGCTTATTTACCACCAACTGTGCTAGATTACAAAAGCTCCACGAGCCTCCACTTCTGGCATATTCAGTGCTATTTTTCCCAACTCAGAAAAGTAACTGGTGTTCTCCTTGCTGAATAAATTAACTGTGGTTTAGCAAGGCAGTTTGCTGGCTGGCTTGGACCTTGCTTTCGAACTCAGAATGCATCTTCTCGTGTGGAAACATCAAACCCGAATAAACTTTTGGAACAAAACTAATTTAAAATGGAGTTTGGATATAGACATCGATCTAAGTCCACAGAGTTACTTAATCGAATACCAAATTACTTTTCAAATATAGGAGTCAAACAAAATCTGAAGTCTTCTGGAGAGCCTAGAGGCACATACCTTAACTGAAGACCAAAACTGTCGTTGAAAAAACAAATAAGGCCCAGAATTTTTATTTTCCAAGACACTATGAAAAAAGAAACATGAGCAAACACATTGTAAGTTCTGATTCCTAGAAAAGATTTCTACAAGTAAAATAGGTGAACAAAAGAATTAACTTTTCAAATTTCCAAGTAACTATTCCAGAAGATAGGTTTAAAAGAAAATGGAAATATATTTTAGGCAGAAAGGGAGAACAAAAAGCATTACTTGTTTTATTCTGCTTAAGGGAACAATTTCTCCACTGAGCTAGTGTCTTTGGGCTACAGGCTTACACCAAATAGGTAAAGTTTATATTTCAAGCTACCTTTAGTTTTTCTAGAATTTAAGAAACCTTCTCCGAAGATAATGGAGAAGATAATCTTTTTAAAACTTTTTTGTTTTTAAAGTAGGCTCCCTGCCCAACGTGGGGCTTAAACTGAGGACCCTGAGATTAAGAGTCACACACTCTAGTCACTAGCCAGCCAGGCACCCCCAATATTATCATCACCCTTAATGTTAAGAGTTACTTACTTTTTGGGATATAAGGGCATGAATACATCATCATCTAAAGTTCTCCTCATTCTTAGTAAAAGTGCTTTTAGGTACACCTAAAGAATTAAAAGCAGATCACACATTTTAAGAAGGGTTATGATAAAAGTTAAATTTTAAGAAATAAAAACAAGCCATATTCTAAATCATATGATCAAGTATTCAATTTCGAGTAAACCGTCTTCTCCAATTTTCTCCCTTCTCACTGCAAGCGTTAAGGTCTTTAATACTCCCTACTCCTCATTTATCCCTCAACTACCAAGCAACGACTCCACTTAGAAATCTACAAACCCTTCAAGTCTACCATATTACTAAGATTTAAGATCAGACACGTAATCTGGTTCTTCTCAAAATGAAGTCAGTGAAAACAAGATAAGGAGCACCTTTTCCGTGTCTAAACAGCACCTAAGAATGTCCAGAGGGATGGCAGCAATCTGAAGTTCGGAAACTAGTTATATAAACTACTATAAAACCTTGTGGTTTTATACGCTGCTCTATGTTTTAGCATTTTATTTTTCAACGTTTTTTTTATTTATTTTCGGGACAGAGAGAGACAGAGCATGAACGGGGGAGGGGCAGAGAGAGAGGGAGACACAGAATCGGAAAGAAACAGGCTCCAGGCTCTGAGCCATCAGCCCAGAGCCCGACGCGGGGCTCGAACTCACGGACCGCGAGATCGTGACCTGGCTGAAGTCGGACGCTTAACCGACTGCGCCACCCAGGCGCCCCTGTTTTAGCATTTTAATCATCAACTGTTACCCATCCTAATAGTTTTACATTTTTCTTTTTCCATAAAAATGCAGTTTTTTTGATTAGTGGGGGGTGGGGCAGTGAGGAGCAGCAGAGAAGAGCACAGGTGGGAAGCTACCTGGACTAATGCCATCACCTTGCCAGAGGGATTTAAAAGCTACAAACTGTGATCTCAAATTTTGTACATTTCAGGCCATAAAGGACCAGATGGCCTGAGGGAATCAGATTTTCTGGCAAGGCTTAGAACATAACCACTCACTCCCTCAGCTCTTGCTCATTTTTGAAAGGAGAGGGGAGAAAAAAACCTTCCACTGATAATAAAGAATTAAATTACCTGTGTATTTTTGTTTTCTGCGTTCACTACTGAAGGATATCCGTTTATTAATTTTAATGTAATCCCAACCATTCTTGAAGTCTGTGTTGTAGAAAAAGGGTCCCACATATTTTCAGCTATTACTATTAAGAGAAAAGTAAGGTGTTGAGATACAGAAGTAGATTGCAGCCGACTTAAATCTGCTGTCAAGCAGTCTTCAACTTATAAACGCCGACCCTGATTTATTTTTTCTCTCTCTAGAGTATAATAAGCCCCAGTCTTCTTTGTCCTCTTAACTGTGGGAACCCTGAAGATTAGGCACATGTGGGGAGGGCATAGATTCATTCTATTTTCTGCTGCTCGGTAATAATAAAGGGGAGGACTTCTAAATCCTAGATGTCCCGGCATCAAGAATTCCTAACCAAACTTGAATCTTATTTTTAGTATTTTAAATAGGTTCCCATACCAATGATTCCTAATCTTTTTTTGAGAAATTGATAGAAGTAATGAAGTTGCTCCCAGGAAAATGCATACCCATTCCCTGCCCTCAAACTATGTATTCAGGTTTGCTTCATTTTCCTTCTCTAAAATTCATCTATGAATCCATTACTGCCTCCAATGCCAGGCCTACCCCAAAGGGGTCTTCAACTACTCGGTTAAGAGACATCCACCCTTTAGCTTTCTCTGGGCCAGGTGGTTGTAATTATTTGTAATTGTTTATCATTTGTAATTATTACTTCTATGAGGAAACACACTCTGGTTAAAATTCTTCAAAACAGATTTGAAAACCCAATGTGTTTAAATGTTCAATTGAGATATCCCTACCTGTTAGTTTAGGAAGAATCACCTTTTCCACAATTGTAGGCAACAGTGCAACATCTACATCATCTTTCTCTTGCTCTCGTTCTTCACAACCATAAAACAGCAAAGATTCAAACCACAGCATGTTTTCAAAGTCACGACATTTTGCCTAGAAAAAAACAATATTAAAAAGCTAAACACTTAAAACAGTTGCTGTTTCTGCTTCTAGCCATGATAAGAACAAGAGGAACAGGATTTAAGCTTCAGTCGCTAACAACTAAAAACTGAACAAAATCTATGAAACATCTATTTTCAGACACTGGACCACAGGCAGTACAGGACCATGACCCCTGAAAACAGAATCAAATGAGTGAGCCCCTGGTGGGGGGGTGCAGAGCAGTCTTGCTCAGTTGCGGAGGCAAGAACTAGAGTTCAGGGAGGCGCAGACAGCCAGAAGCTACGGGGTGGAGGAGGGAGCTACCCAGAAAAAGAACTCCAGAGCGCACACAAGTCCCCTTGAGCCTTTGCTGTATACCAAGGCACACGTGCACAGGGTGAAACTCCACAAGGTCCGGCGAAGAGCGACCGGGAGCTGGCAGCTGAATGGTTGGTTCCCAGAGCTCACAGTTTTTTCAGTTTGCGGGGTGTCAACCTCAGCCCTCTTTTCCCTACAGTTGACACATTCAACCCAGCCAATCTCATTCATGCCATGCCTCCGTCCCCATGCTGGGAACTTCCAAAACTCTTTCTTAAACAGGACCACTGAACACATACAGGCACTTCTCGTCTCCTCCCTTATGTACATCCCAGGCCAACAGGTCCTACTGATTCCACCTCCTAAACGTATCGGTTTGTCTTATCCTCCCAATTTTCCATTACCACCCAACTTAGTTCAGGTCATTTCACACCCTCCTCACTAATCTTTCCCATGAGGTTCTAAGTTTTTCTAGGATCAAAGGACCAAATTCTTAGTGTTCATTCACGTTCACATCCCAGTATCACTACATGCAACTTTAGTTGACCAAGAAAAGCACTGTATATAACTTGAAAGTAATAAACAGCTCTCTTGAGAAGGAACAGAGATAAAAAACCATGACTCTACACCCAGCTGAATTTGTATTATAGCCCTGTGCCCTATCTCCCCTGAAAAGTATTTTGCTCCAACTTACATCTCTAGCTTTGAGATTAAAATTACCCACGCATGGTGTTATACTGTTTTCTAACAGTGACACAAGCCACTCACCTCAAGAGGAGTCCAAGTGAGAAGCTGCAGCCGTATGAGGGGGTTGAACAGCTTTGGCAAACAAAGGCCGATATAAGCATCCTTATAGGACAGATAGTATTTTGAACGCCATGCTTCAAATTGGGATTTAATGCAGTCGATTGAATAGAAACTTTCAAGTACGTCTTCAAAAACCTTGCTGGACTCTTTCGAAATGCGATCTAAAGACAACAATAACAACAAACAAAAACCCCAGAGAGAGCCATAACTTACAATGTGGTAGGAAACTCAGAGTTCAGTATTTTCCACATTTTCTTTGTAGCCTGAGTATCAGTCAGGCTCATTAACAGAGGAATCATTATTAATTGCAATTTAACAGAAGGGAGGAACGCAAGTTTAGGTTTTCAAATGTCTGTTCTGCAAACCAGAGTGCAGGCAGTCTTAGCTTTGCAGTTCCCAGATGTACCATTTCCTGTTCCTAGAGTTTAGTTAAATACCACCAATCCCCCAACAAGTCAATCCCCATTTCAGTCACTACAGTAGATTAACCGTGAGTAACTGCGTGAAGTGCAAACTTTGCTCCAAGCTCTTCAGTCCACAATCACCGTATAAATATCAGAAGTGCATCACAATCAGTGAACGATCATTTTCACTTCTTTCAAGGTCTGTGGGTGACTGTGAGAACTGACATGGACAAGTATCAAAATGGATGCTAGATCTTTAGGTGGAAAGTGATTTGATGCTGCTGAAGACTTGGGAAAGGGGAATCTTTTAATGGTGAGACCGAACAGTGACAACCTAATTCTCAAGATGGATCTTAACATCACTAATAGCCGGACAATCTAACATCTGTCATCTCATATTCTGCAATACGCAGCAGCATCCTGTATGAAGTATTCTTGCCGAAACAAAAGCTTAACCTGAATCTAATCAAGTCTTCAGACCTAAATGCCAGTTTACATAGAAATTCGGTGAATCGAAAAACAAATTAATCCATGAGGAAACAAAATGTTGGAAATTCTGCAAGGTAAGTGACCTGGTCTCTTCAAAAACTTAATGTCTTAAACAAACAAATAACAGGGGAGGGTATATGTGTAAGGTACTCATGGACATTCATTAATCCTAGGGAAAAAAATGGAACAACCAAATGCAGGGCATGAAACCTCGTGTGGATCCCAGTTTGGAAAAGACACAACCACCCAAAAAAACAGTCCCAAGAGCTTTATTTCGGGGGAGCTGCTGCTAAATAAACACAATATTAAGAATTTTCAGTTAAATATGCTAAAGTGTTGAAAGGAAAGTATCATGATGTGTAGGCTATATTCAAATGGTTCAGCAATACACACACACACACACACACACACACACACACACACACACACACACACACCCCCCCAAAGAATTAAGGCAAACTTGGTTTGGTAAGAATTGTTGAATCCGGGTGATACGCACATGGGATCACTGTGCTATTCTTTCCAGTTTCTCTATGTTTAAACATATTCACTACAAAAAGGTGGGAGAAAAAGAAGCTTCTCTAACTACATTCCAAATGGCCTGCAGCCAACATAATTCCAAATAACCACAACCAATGGCAGGAAAGGAAGATTCTTCTAGAAATGCCTGGCACATAACAGTACTAACCACTCCCCTTGGGTTGAAATTATTCGGGACTCCCCAAATCAGGAGTTTCTTTCAGGGCTGAGTGTCCTACTGCCCAGCTCTGCCTCTCCAGGACAGGCTGCATTAGGGCTATCTTAGGATCTGACTTTTTTTTTGGTCACTTAAAATTCTACAATTCTGGAGAGTAATACCGTTTTATTATGCAAGTACTAAATAAACTCCAAGACAAGGTGTCACCACTAGTTTTGAGAATTCATCACGATATTCAGTTAATAAAAACGGGTGCCTATTTTTACAATTAAGAAAAAAGTGGCTGATTCTAACGCAGAGGCCACAAAACTTCAAATCATCTCGTGGTAAAAACCACACCTAAGTAGAAACCAAACTGGCAATAAAACGTCATTTCCAAATAAATGTCTAACCTTTTTCCAGATTGAAGTTTGTAATATCTGTGGAAGTTTCTTCATCATCACTGGAAAGGCCTTCGAGGTGATCTGCCATCTTACCGGTCTGCTCTCTGGCTTGTCTACGACGAGTCCTAAATAACAAACAGCAAGTTCCCAAACCAGATACAAGAGACTCCTCCCTTTGCAAACGAACCAACAGCAAGCATTCTGAGAATTACCTCCTGGCCTCCCGTTCTGCAATCCTACGTTTTGCATGCTCTTGATACAGTGCCCGATCTCGCCCGAAGGAATCGAGATTTGGTGCCATCAGAGCTTTATCTGTAAAACAACAACAGTGAAAATTAAAAGCCTTCCTTCAGCAATCTTGAGGAAAGAGTTTGCACAGAATAAGCCATAATGATAGACTGTTTGCTAATCTCAACAGGAGGCTTCCGCAGTAACTGGTAAACCAGACAGTTTTCTAGTTCAGAGCAAATCTCAGTATTATTCTGTGTTCCCATGAAAAGGAGTAGAAAAAATAAACAGAGAGTTCAACAACCCTATGTAAATACGACTGGGTTTAATCACTACTTTTGTATCTAAGTAACAGAACTAGTTGACGCTATCATGATGACCAAATAAATTAAAAACCAAAATTACCTGTGCAAAGAGAAAATTATAGATTACTTTTCTAAGGAAGGAATTAAGCATCACATGTCTAATGATATGACAGAAAAGAAATCCTGGGTAGGAAGGATGAGAAAACAGCTTTGTTTCAGGAGTTTGAGAATTTATTCTATTTATTCTAATTCTGCTGTGTAGACATTCTCTACTACAATTTTTAGAACAAGGGCAGGATCAACATAGACTGAAAACCGCATCTGAACAAGACTAACATACTTTCTCGAACACTCTTTCAAAGCAGAATTATTCCTTTTTTTGCCTATTTTCTGTCTCTTTTTTTAACTTTCTAGGGCAATATTCTAGTATAGCTTCCACCCTTCCAATTTAAATTTATTAATTTCAGTTACCATATTTTTAATTCCTAAGAGATGGTTCTTACAATATTCCCATCTCTAGGGCACTTCCTACTATCTCTCGAAGGGTATCCATTATATTTTAAATTTTCTTCTGATACCTGCATTGTTTTTGTTTCCTCGGTCCCTTTGGTTCTATTGCTTGTGTTACTCTCTCTGTTGATCCTTAACTACCTGATGTGAAAGGAGACTGGAAGTTCTGTGGACAAAGGTGGGAGGTACCTCACAGAGGCATCTCCATCTGAACACCGGGGAGAAAGTCAACTTTCTTGTTGGAGGCTCCCAGATGTTAAGTGTCTCCTTCTCTGGACCCATTCTCTTACTCCAGTGAACAGTCCTCTAATCTTCCGCCTGGGGTAGAAGGAGGAGTGGGGGAAACATCTATCTGCAATAGTTCCCTCAATTCTACGTTTGTTTTACGAAGATACTCTGTAAAACACGGATGGTAACAGAAGCAGAAAAGCTAAGGGATAAGATGCGGGGAAAGTCATACATCAAATAAAAGACATCAATTTAAGGCTTTTGAATTTGTTTTCCCCGGATATCGGAGATGTGCCGCCAACAGCAGCAAAAGAAAACACAAACCCCCAAGTTAGCCCTCTGCTTCAGTGTATCCTATCTTAGACCCTACTCTTTTTAAAAGCTGACTTTCTGGGTTACTCATTCATATTTCAAAATAGCTCTGATATTAGGAAGTATGTTCCAGAGTTCAGCAATTGTTAAGAAAGATGAACACGATAAACAAGAAAAGATGCCCCTGTTCTACCTCAATCGTGAATTCACACACCAAAGGGGAATAGCTAAAGTCCCAAACTACAGAAATGATTCCTGTCTCTCTTCAAGAGGTCTCCTTCATTAAAGAAATACCGTCAAGAATATTCACCACTATAACAAATATTTAAAATGTCTCTACATTGGTAGATCGTATAGGACACTAAAGGAGATATGAGAGTAGATGACTCAAGTGATAGCCTCCTTCACTTCTCTAAGAACTATATGCCGTGACTGTGGTTAAGTGTCCACAAATCTCAACAGATGAATTACAGGGATTTTTGTTTTAGCGTCCTATGTAATTTTCCTCAAACCTTTGACAATTAATGAATACTCGCCTCTAAGGTAGTATTTTTCGCTTTCTCATTACTTTTCAATTTCTTTCCGACTCTCAATCTAATCAACATACATCATTTAATCTTTACTTCCCATTCTATGTAAGTAAATAGCTCCAAGTTACAAAGAACAGATTATAGGGAGGAAAAGGTATCTGATAAAATGCACAGCTCATACAAACCATTTAACTTAAAAAAGGAATTACTTCCCTTCATAGGTCTAATGGTTACCTGTAATCTGCCCCAGAAATCTGGTTCTGTCTGGATCAAAAGTGATCTGGAAGGGCTGCATTAGTCATCTAGGTGCCCGATATGGCAATAACCCAATTTAAGTTTGTGTGGCAAAAATAGAAAGGTCAAAGCTCTGAGGGCCGTAACACCACCTCTCTCCAATGCTCTAAAACCCATTCCGCACACAAGATGTTTTCTCAGGGATCCAACATCTAATTTAGAGGACCCCCTGTATGACGAGGTATTGTTTTCAGAAAGAACGACACTAGGGCCCTTCGCACTTGCATCACCTGGAGTGGTTGTTCAACATGAGGATACGGTCACCATCCAAGACCTAGCAAAAACTTCTGGGGATAGGACCAAGAAACCTGCATTCTAAATTAATACCCCGGGTAATTCTGATTCACACTTCCGTTCAGAACTGCTGGCGTAGGGAACAAAGAGGTGATAAAAAGAAGCTATAAGAAATCCATGCTAGGACAATTCCTCTTAGAGTACCCAAGAATATGGAGCACAATGGAAATATGGAATTAAAAGCTTTAACACATCTGGTTAAAGAACCTCAGCTAAGCTATTTAATAAGAGCTTTCTGATTAATTTTGGTTCTTCATAACACATATTATAATGAAAGGAATATAAACTGAATTTCTAAACTTTTACATTAAAATTTCAAAAACTGTAGCCATCAAATGACTTACTAAAAAACCCACTATAAAAGGCAAGCTAGAGAATAAAAAATTTTGCTTTTCTCTGAGGCATGAAGTACGAAAATCCCCTAATCTTGGAGTGGTATTATCTGTTATGTAATTAGAACCCCTTCTCTCCTCTTCAGAATCTCCCAGTCCCTGAACCCAGAATCTTTCCAACAGCATTTGTATCAGTGTTGTGACCAGGATGAAATGGGGGGAAAGATCAATTGGAGCCAAATGATAGTTGTTTTAAGATAAAATACTGATGTCTTCTCTATACTCTAAAGAATGAAAAAATAGGTTCAAAGAAGAGTAAGATTGATAGAATATCAGTGCATGTTTTTGAGCTCCTTTGTGAAGCTGTATTTTCTTAAACACAATCCAAGTACATGCTGTTAAGTTTTAGAACTACCTGACACAAGAGTAAGGAAATGTGTTTAAAAAAAAAAAAAAAAGCTAATAAGCTCTCTAATTTTCAATTAGGCTGCACTAGGTAAACAAGGTTGTTTAATGAATAATAAAAACCTTCAAGATGGACTGACTTGAATGGCTTGAAAACTCCGAAGATTCATCTTTAATATCATCTTGTCGTCTTTGGACAAGGCGGGAAGCTCGCTGTTTGTACAGCTGATGTATTGCTGATTCAAGTTCATTAATCAGTGGCACCTGTAAAAATACAACACACTCCGTAACACCAAACTCTTCAGTTGCTTACTTATCTGAGGGTTCCATTCTATTTCCGGATTTCTGAAAAAGTACCCTCTATGGACAGAATAATCATGAACTCCCAATGGGACACAAATAGCAATTCAGTATTACGAAGTTTAGGAACCATCTCTTCTTTTAATCCATACATAGGGCTACAATGTCCGGTGCCTAGTTATTGGAGTAAAAGTTTGGTTAGGAAACTTAACGCTGCAGTATTAGTAAAGAGAGCAAGTAAAGAAATGTCAAAATCGTAGTGCTTTTCTTTCAGAATAAAGTGATTGCAAGTCTTTTAAAGTCCATTTTTGATTTTCAGCAGCATCATCTACCTCAGAAGTTTTGTAGCTTAAAATAAACCATTATCGCTATGCAATACTGAAAAAACGCCAGGGCTCCACGAGCAGGTAAGAGCGGGGATCTGCGCACTGCCCAATTCTGGACGCTTAAACTGCTCCGCCACTCATGTGCGCCAAGTACCTTACGGTAACGTCACAACACATCGCAGCCTGATGACACGTTCTTAAATGCGAACCGCATCCATTTACGTTAGTAAGGCAAATAAAACTTCTAACCTTCACTAACCTAAAGTCAGTATCTCAAAGTCAGAAAGCTCTTCCTATTAAATGTATTTTCCCATACTTTGTCATAAAATAATAAAATTCCTCACATGAATTATCAGTTTACAAAGTCCATGAATTTTTCCAGGTTCATATCCACAGCTAAGCATTCACTTGGTTCACACACAGTACAAAAAACTTACGGGATGAAACCTAACTTAAAAAGAACAAACAACACTTTCTCTTTATCAATATCTTACATTATAACCAAACGCTATGAAACTTTCACAAAACACTAATGACCACTACACATACCTGAGGAAACCAGAAATTCTAGTTTCCTGACGGTTAGTGCAAATGGAAAACACATTATTTAGAGTTTGGGAACACTGGCACCAAGTGTGACAGCAGCTTCCTGAACTGAACAGACTGCAAATGGAAAATAAAAAAAAAAGGCAGGTGGAATTCAAAGATGTCTGTAATAAAAGCACTTTTATACACTGGCATGATTCCATTGCAAAAGCAGCAAATGTTCCCAGAGAGATCAAACCGATGGAGTTATTTTAATCTCAAATAGGCCACACCACGGACAACAAGGCCCCCAGATCTGCACTGATTATCTTAGACAACTGAGCCCGCGGACTCGATCTTTAAAATTTACGAGGAGTAATTTTTTTAAGGCAGTCAGTGCTGTATTCCTGTGACTTGCACTTCCCACCCCCTTACGTCGTCACCCCACACAGGACGGAAGACACAGGTGCCTGTGCACCTACGGTGTGCGCTTTGTGTCCCGGAGACTGTCACCACTCCCGTAGTGTGACAGCGACACACCCCAGGTGGCATCCAACAGCATTTAATTATTCAATTTATAGTTAAAATTCCGATAATGCAATTTTTCTGTTTAGGTCATTAGAGTGCTTTTCAACAAAGCCGAGAAAATTCTGAGAATAAAAACTTCAAGACGCGTTTTCAGCTCTTTCAGGTTTCTTAACGATATCGATTTGTCTCAAGAGTATGCACCATGACAATTTCTTTACCCTCTCCAAACTCAAAACTGTTCTTGACTATTATGATTTCAAGACCAAATTTAAGGCGAAGAACACAAGGAAGGGGACTATAGGGAAACAAAACGATGGAAAGTTAAAATGATTTTCAAATAATTAAAAAAACCTAAGTTCAAACTACTTAAACTTTTAGAACGAAACAGAAGAAAACCAAACCAATGTTTATCTTTCTATGGCCTTACCCTGAAACAAACTTTTATAGTATAACTAAAATCAAATTCAAATGTGTCTACTTATTCCTAAACATTTCCAAGGTGACAATTTATGACATTAACTCAGCAGCAACCTCTTAATAAAACTCCACGCATATGAAAATGTCAAAATGAAATAAAATACTCATCCTTCAAAGAAAGGATCATCTGCCTCTGTTTTAATGAAAATGTAGTCACTACAGGGGTACCTGGGTGTCTCAGTCGGTAAAGTGTCCGACTTCGGCTCAGGTCATGATCTCACAGTTCATGGGTTCGAGCCCTGCAGCAGGCTCTGGGCTGACAGCTCAGAGCCTGGAGCCTGCTTTGGATTCCGTGTCTCCCTCTCTTTCTGTCCCTCCCCCGCTCATACAAGACTTAAGTAACATACAAGACTTAAGATCTTCTCCAAAAACATTGATCTAAGTGACTCTGTGACACCATACAAGTACACTCTGAAGCCAACTTCTCTAGGAACATAGTGATTGAAATCAATCAATAAAGTCTCCTGCTAACCATTTTTAAAATAGTAAGCGATTGAAAACTGTATGAACTAGACGTCCTAGTAGTCTCTTTAATGCAAAAATGGGATCATCTAGTTTACCATATTACCGTCAACTTTTCGGAGTTAAGTCTACAGTTACAAGTATGTAAGTTTACTGAAGTAAATCAAATTCTACGGCAAAGGTTCCAATACTTCAAGAAAAAACTCCACAGGGACAAGCGTCACTTACAAAGTATGGTGCGTAAGCGTCACTTACAAAGACAATGACCCTTCTTCTAGTCACAGAGGGTTATGACAGCAGCTTCCATTATGCCCGCTGGGCTCAAAAGGCCTTTATCGGTGGGAAGGACACAACCGCCAGCTGACACCTGAGTCCACTTCCTGCCTTGACTCTAGCCCCCTGCAGCGTCAAACCTGTTTCTTTCCCACCCTCATACTTGTCGCCCTAAGCCAGTGATCTGCCACAAGGGATATCATAGCTCAGACTATAGCTGCTTCTTCAGAAATCAGGTGGTAAGACAAGAACATGACAAATCCTACAGACAAGGCTTGGTGAAGGCTCTTGGGCTGCATCTGACCACAGACTGGCTACAACCCTTAAGATCCATTAGGAAGACAGTCTAGAGCCATTCTCTGGTGACCTTTGGCTTTCATAGATTGAGGTCATCAACAGAGACAATAAAAACTTAAGATACTCCTTTAAACGTACTATGCTTACGGATTCTATACTAAACCACACAGCTAAGAAAAAGGGAAAAGTGTGCCCTCTAATCCTGCATCACTTGAAAGCTGAGACACAGGATATTCAAAGACTGTATTTTATTTTTTCAAAGATAAAGTCACAAAGTCCACAAATACTTATAAACCAATGCATCACGTATATTTATCTTAAAAAAAGAAAAGTCAACTAGGAGTTCGTTTGAGAAGGGGATCCTGTGTGCAGTGAATTTTAAAAATGCAAATAAATGGTATACTAAAATGCAAAAAACTATGCCAAGTGACTGGCATACTAAAAAAAAAAAAAAAAAAAAAAAAAAAAAAAAAAAAGAACTTGGAAGAAATGAGATCTTCAAAGAAATTATGACCAATGAATGGTTTCTGAAATCGATGAAGCATAGGCTTATTTAGATGAAAAGTATCAGCAGCCATGGTGACCAACTTTTAGAGTTAAAAAAAAAAAAAACTAATAAAATTCTGTAACTTTATACACATTTGGAATTACTCGTGGAAACAGTTTAAAGGTAAGTTTAGACCAGAACCATACCAAAGAAAATTCCATCAGATGAGTCCCTTATATTCTAATAATTCAGGGCAGGCCAATAATATACCACTGTGTTAAAGAGGACTAGCCAAAGTCTTATTTAAATATGCTTTATCTTTTTTGTTGTTGTTTTCAACAAAGCCATTATGCCGCCCCCAAGACAGAATGCCGCTAATGAAGTGAGGAAAATGAAGCATGGCTTTTCATCACTTCTAGAGTTGAACTCAGTGGATACTTTCTGAGAAATACAAGAAATGATCTACACAAGGCCGTCTAGACCTCCCTAATTTTGCCTTAGTCAAAGAGATTAATATTTTTGCATTCTTACCTTTTCACTGAAACACTCAAGCAAGTCTTGGACATACCCTCGCATTTCTTGCAAAAACTTATACCGTTCACCAACACCCCCAGAAGACCCTTCTAATCTCTCAATAGCCCTGGTGGCGTCCACTCGGCTTTGCAGGTGTTTCTCATGCTGCTGTCGATTCGTTTTGTGCAGTTCTTTCACGGAGTCCAACCTTAAGAACACAAAAGGATAAATATAACACATTTACATCCAAAAGTCTACGCCGTCAGGACTCTTGCAATATTATAATAATGCATTTAGTTCCACTATTAAGATACAAAAATGCTCGGAGTGGCATCTTTTCATCTGCACGGCTTTTTTCTCAAAAAAGCAAAAAAAAAAAAAGGCAGTTTACAGACTTCACATCAAGTTATTTGGTGGGCTAACCAAAATCTGTTTCGCTTTTCCCCCCATATCTTGACTACACTTTTTCAGAGTCCAAGAGGTACAAACTCAGAACTGTCTTCAACAAGATCATGGAGTGGCATTTTTATAACTTTTCGAGGCTTCCACAGAAGTAATCCAAGAAGGGAGCAGAACAAAGTATGAAGTCATCTTCTGTTTAGCTTTTGAAGATGGGCCAGTGAATCTTCTTTGCCGACATTCTGCATCTGCTACCCCAGACTACATGTTGCCTGAGGGAACTGAAAGCTAGGACAGGTCTTTAAGAAGTTGATCTGCCCTACCTGTCTTTAAGCTGTTTCTTTACCAAATCAATAGTAACGGGAGTCATCTCATTACTGGGAGTTTTGAAAGGGACTGTATTATCTGTTTTTTGAGATTTGGCATCAGATGATCCATAGGCAGTGTAACTATAAGGAATGCCATAGGATGAACCATAAGGTATCGTCTGGTAAGTGTTCTGGTAGTACATATTCACTTCAGTGGGCTGGCTTGCTTGAACCTAGAAAAGAAATGGGATATATATGAAAACCAGCAGTTAATCATGACTTTGAGATTAAAAAGCACAAACTGCAAAAATATACACCATTTTCCAAACAGTATGTTAACTGAAATAAATAACTGCAAAGTTCTTCAAAATCAAGTAAAAGTAGGGCAGGATGAACATTCTAACTCGTATGGGACTACTGAATTCATTTCTAATAATTTTGGGGAAAACAGAATATCATAGAAGTTTGGGTAGGAAGGGACATAAAAAAATAATCCAAAGCCATCACGTTATCAGTGGAAGAGAATAAATGACTTGCTACAGTTAGAAAACAAAGACAAGCAGAGACTAGAAACTGCCATCTAAGTACCCTATTTTCTTAACATAACCCAAACGCATGCAAAACACTGGCAACAAAAACAGTTTACATTTATGGATCACTTCCACTGTACTACTTAATAAAACTTGTTTTAACTACTGACGAAGAGATTTTTCATCAAAGTTTTTGAATTAAGTTTTCACATTACGAGAAGAGAAATCCATCTTCCACAAAATAATTTTTAAAGTCAGAAGCAATAAGCTATACAGGAAAGAAAGATTTTATCTCAACAGTGGTTCTCAAAGTCAGCGTGCACCAGGGTGGCCCGAGCGTGGTGGCTGGGCCCCCAACCCAGTTTCTCATTCACTAGGTCTCAAGAGGGTGAACATTTGCCATTTCTAACAAGCCCCCAGCTGATGCTGATGCTGCTGGCTGAAGGATCACTCGGAGAAACACTGGTCTAAGAAACCATCACTCTGTTAAGTTGCAAAGGATAACAACAGTTTCTTTCTTCTAAAAGCTTATCGAATATATGTACCTGCACGTAATTTTCTTCATTGTGTTAGTTGGATGAACCACAAAGATTCAATTCAGTATCTTTGTGATTTCACAAAACAGGCACAAAAGGTTTCTTGTGTACTTTCTATTTTTCAAGTTTAACCTTTTAGTTCTTACCTGAGGGATATTGATTCCTTTTCTTATCTGCTCCTGCTCCCATCGGCTGAGTTCTTCATCTTGTTCTCCAGTTACTAGAGCATCATCATCACTCCCCTCAATGCCTGCAGCCACAGCAGTGGGGAAAATTAAATACCAGAAAAGCAGGGAGGGAAGAGATGCTATCCTGATACTTCACAAAAATTAAGCAAGACAATTGGTATTAACTCAGTTTTACTAAAATGTTGATTACGATCTCTTCTCCTTTGATACCCCTTGCTTGTCTTAGACACAGCATTCCTTGAAGCAGAAGGCATTACGCGGTAGTTACACCCAAGGAAGGTTTCCTAATCTCTGTGAGCTTGACGTCAAATCAACAAAGGGAAGAGCAGAACGTAAAGGCCTCTAAAGAATGCGAGGCTGATTATATAAATGTATGCATGTAAAGTGCTTAACACGATACTGGCCACACAGGACGTGCTCAATAAACATGAGCCATCATAGTCATGCTACAGTTTTCAAAAAATTCCAATAAGACACTGGTACCCAAGCAGAAAGGGTCCTCAAACACTAGATATTGCTGAGGAAATGTGGGTACTTTTAATCTGAATACAGTATCGAATATTTAATACAATGCAACAGGCTTACTATACTATTTAAATCAAGTTACCTATTTCCTCGGCAATTTTTTGTCTCTGTGACTTTTCTTTCACAGAAAAAACTATGCGACGTTTCTCATCATCATCTTCATCATCACTGGCATCATTCTCATCTTCTCTAACAAGGCGGCCTTTCCCAGGCTCGCTGTCATGAGGAGTGAAATCTCCTAATTCTCGGGCCATTTGACGCTTTTTCCTTGCAGCATGTATAAAAGCTGCATCTGGAATTTCTCCTGGAAACAAGTGGTAAGAATTGTAAAATATGCCGGTATTAGGGTATGAAGTTTCTATTTTTGTGAAAATATAAAGGGTATGGGGCGCCTGGATGGCTCTGTCAGTTAAGCGCTGACTTCAGCTCAGGTCATGATCTCACAGTTTGTGAGTTCAAGCCCCGCATAGGGCTCTGTGCTGACAGCTCGGAACCTGGAGCTAGCTTCTGATTCTGTGTCTCCCTCTCTCTTTCTCTCTCTCCCCCTCCACCACTCATGCTCTGTCTCTCTCAAAAATAAATAAGCATTAAAAAAAAAAAAATTAAAAAAATAAAAAGAAAATATGCAGGGTAAAATAACCTCACCAAGAGAGCCATGTCATAGTGATGTTCTAACATTAGTTGCTGGTACCCCTTTCCCCAACTGTGCCTGTAACCCAACTGCTTTCTTTTTAATTTAGCTTAAACGGAAACCTAAGGTCACTAAATATACATATATATATAAATCATATACTGGCAATATGCATGGGGGGAAGATCCACCACCACAGCTTTGTTTTAACTGTAATTTTTTTCATTTTTAAGAAATAGGAAAAGTAATCAAACCCTATTACTAAAATAGAAAGCAGATAAGTTTAAAAAGTTGCCCACAAGCTCACCTTAAAAAACTATTAGATTTATAGTATATTTCTCTTGCATATAGTTTCCAGGTCACCTGTAAGCATACTGAATATATAATTCTGTACTTAAGTTTTTTTTCATATTAAAACACACTAAGTTTTTTTCCATGTTGTTGTTTCGCAAAGCATAATTTTTAACAGCTTAACAATATTCACTAAACAGATAAAGCATAATCTACTACCTAACTGACCTTTCACCTCCAGTAAAAATTAACGCCTTGCCACATGTCTAATGTTATTTTAATAGCTATGTAACATCCCATCATGTAAATGTACCTTAACTTACTAAGCTGTTCCTCTCCTGCCAGACATTTTTTCTAAGCACTTTCTTACTCAAAAGCCTATTACCCAGGAAACAGATTTGCCAACTATTTCCTACAAAAAAGTAAAAAGGAAGAAAGTGTGGGCATAAAACTAACTGCAATGAGTTTTGCTCATTCTAAAAAATTTCTTCTAAAAAATTTAAAGTTTTAAACTTTAATTTTAAACTTCTAAAAAAGTTAAAGTCTTAATCTGAAATACTTTAAAAAAAACAAAACAAAACAAAACTTTAGTACCATTTATCCATTTACATGAAGTCCCACACTGGCTTTGGATAACAAAAGTGCCTGACAATGAGCTTGGAAAAACTGGCAAGTTTCTACTTCTCTCACTTTATCTGCAAAAGGAAACACCTTGGCTGCAAACAGGGATGTCACAAGAAACACCACGTAGCTAACTCCTTCCTTAACCATCTTTACACATGGCCCATTCTTGAGGGCCTCCTTCATTTCTGAGAAGTATCTGCAAACACACACCTGGGCGGAGAACATTCAAAGAAGATAAAGCATTTGAAAAAGCTCCACCAGCTTTTGGCTTTTCTTCCTCCTTCTCACTTTCCATGTCCATTTCATCTTCACCATGTTCACTGATGATAACTCCGTCTTCTTGACTGGTGTCCTTAATGTGTCCTGTTTTGTCCAAGGGTGGTTCGCCTACATTTTTGAGAAAAGTAATTAAAATTTTAAATAAAATGCATAAATTGAGAAGGCACTTTTTATTCGTTTATAGGCTCACTTTGAACTGTTTTAACTGTTTATTAAAAAAACCCACTGATTGTATGAAAATGAAATATCCAACAACAGGCATTAACTGTGAAATAAAAATAATATAGGGGTCACAAGGATGCATCGGAGGCCCTACTCAATTCTATCTTGAGTTAATCTCATCAAAATTTTACTAACTTATCAAAATTAACTGTTTCTTCCTCTAACCTCCCATTGGTCACTGCTCATACCTCTTTAAAACATCATTTCATTAAACCCTAAGCCCATCTGAGGCAGCTTTCTATGAAGAACAAATGCTTAGGGACCAAGTAAACCTCTCTGTGATGAATACTTTAGGATCATCTTCTTAGTTCATAACCATTTGTCACCCATCACCTGACGGGGTGAGACCCAAAAGTCCTATTTACACAATGTAACTGTGATCCCATTGCCATGACTGAATGTTCAAGACTGGATCTGTGACCGAGGCAGAGACAACCTTATTGTCTTTCTGGGAATCTGGAACTGAGACAGAGAGACAAGTCAGAGACTGGGTAGCACTAAAAACAACCTAAATCAGTAAGGGAGCGGCAGAGTGGCCATATTCTGCCGTATGGACAGAGGAGAGAACTCTAATTCGGTGCTGAAGCTCAGGCCGTTCGTAAGACCACTTGCAAGACTGCTTCCTGCGACCGCGTTCCAGGAGGCACCACTCACCACGCTGATCTTTACAGAGGTTTATTTTGCTTTTAACTCAATAGTCCCACTGTACCATCAGTCCCAGGCAAAAATCACAGAAATCAGAGTGTTAATCTTCACCTTAAAACACTGAACCTGGCACACAAGAGGCACAATGACTATAATGAAATAGTAAAAGTTTATCCTAAATATTTATTCTAAATATTCTAAATGTTTGCATTGTTTCCCTAGCATGGCCCCCTCCTAAAAACTGTTTCAAAAATTTCTATTCTTCTCAAGCCATATCCTACTCCCCTAAATAAGAATCTCAGGAATACCACTCCTTCATACACACACTTTTGACTAAAATTTAGGTCATTGTTTAAGGCTCTTTAGTTGTTTCATTTACCATCCTGCCTCATTAGCCACAGCCTTCCTTCTGAAGTGCATTCTGATGCTCGAGGTGAAAAGTCCACTCTATCAGATGGATATGGTTACACGGGAGTCAAACACTACCCAAATTTCGTTCTACTCTAAACCCACACTAAATCAGTGGCTTTTAATAGAACCAAAAGCTCTACTAGATCAGATACATTCAGAATGATTTCTGCAGATTCTAAAAGACAGAGCAAACACAAATTATGACTGAACACGTACAAGCGCAAAACATGGTGACAGTGGGATTGTCGTTAGTGGTCGCACATCATCCTTCCAGATGTCTTTGTAAAAAGAGATACCAAATAACCTTCTAGGCTCCTCTTGTACTCTCAATTTCTCCTACTACCATCAGGAAACTTGCTCTCACAAACATTCTCTTTACCTTGAACTTGACGAGCCTCCCTCTCTCCTTTCTTCTACCTAGACACAGGTTTCTTGCTATCAAAAGAACTTTCCCTTGATCACAACGGTCTCTCCAGCTACTGTCCTCTACTTCTTTCTCTGCCAAGCTTTCCCAAAGCAGTGTGGACCTGCTGCCTCCTACTTCGTCACCAACTTGGGTGCATCAGCCTAGGCGAACAGCCTTTACCTTCTCTCGTTCCCAGCTCCCGTACCAGCTATCCAAAGGCTGCAGCTACAGCTAATTCATACAATATTGTTGAGCAAGTTAGCAAAAGATGTCTCTTCAAGCCGAACAGACACAAAGCTTGGCTAATGGACTTGCCCCTTCTGCCAGATACCCTCCTCCAGAAAACAACAACCCTGTCAATGGCCACTCCTTGGTCCTTTCTTTTCCTGACCTTTCTGGCACTATTTCATACAACTGAGCATCTTCATCTGGAAATTTTCCTGTCCCTTCTCCTTTGACCTTTATGATTCTCTTTGGTAAATCCTCTTGTCTGTGTGTACACTTATTACAGATAGAAGTCTTCGGTCCCCAGAAATGTTTCCTTTATGCTGCTCCCTCATCAGTTCCATTTACTTTTGTTTTTTTGTTTTTTTAAATTTTTTTTTTCAACGTTTATTTATTTTTGGGACAGAGAGAGACAGAGCATGAACGGGGGAGGGGCAGAGAGAGAGGGAGACACAGAATCGGAAACAGGCTCCAGGTTCTGAGCCATCAGGCCAGAGCCTGACGCGGGGCTCGAACTCACAGACCGCGAGATCGTGACCTGGCTGAAGTCGGACGCTTAACCGACTGTGCCACCCAGGCGCCCCTACTTTTGGTTTTAATAAACACCTCAAGAAGCACCAGGCCTAAACCTATTATGTCCCACTGTTCACTGGCTATTTTCGCTCAAAGTGAAGTTTAAAGGCAAACTCACTATTCTAGGAATACCCATTTTTGTGGTAGGTATTTTGTTGATAGGACCTTGATTTGGAGATTAACGTACCTCTCTGGCTGTCTAAGGAGAGTTGCACTAGGAAGAGTTCAGGATTGTGAGCTGATTCTGAAAGAGCTCCATAACACCATCAGTTCAAGGGTAATGATGACCACCTATAACACACAGGCTCTACCTTAAGGGAGGACATTAATGAAGTTATCTGGCAAGTGTATCAGTTATGTAAAAGTGGAAGACAGGTCACAGGAGATGGCCTCATAAATCTCAGACTTGCTTCAATTACTAAATCCAACGGTAAATGGTCCTTTCTTTCTACTCCTGACCTTACTTGCACTATTTCACTGCACACGCTTGGTTCTCAAGAGATGTGGGGAAAAAAGAGTTTCCTAGACTCCAAAATAATTGGTTCCCCTAAAAATATCCTCCTCCCACCTGCCTTCCCTTTTCCTGTATAGAATAAGGAACTGTTCTCTCAGCCACCACAGCATAAAAGCTCGAATTTAACTATTTCTTTTAAATCCGATATCTAAAGCAAAAATCAAGGCTACCAAGTCTTCCCTTGGAACATTTCTGAAATAATCCTTTCTTTCCATTTCTTCTCCCACACCCACAGCAAACATTTTTAACTCATCCACATTTTTCCACTGAGTCAGGAAAAGCCTCAGTCTCGCTCAACTGAAACCTTTTTAAACCCACTATTAATGGATCAAAGCTGGCCCTTGAGGTTAAACTGCTTCAGGCCTCCAATCTCTCCTTGTGCTGATCCATTCTGCATGCTAATACCAGGCTGAGGTTTCAAAAAACATTTATCATGTCACCATCTTGGCAAGGCACCAAACCCAGCAACTCTAAACCCCTTACTGGACACTAAACATCCTTCACAATCTGTCAACAATGCACCTTTCCCCCTAAACCTCTACTTCCTCTACAAAATCATCTCCTGACAGTCGTACTTGCCCTTGCCTTAACTCACTTTAACCTTTGATAACAGACCCACATTTTCTCTCTCCTGTCTTTTGGAATTTAAATTATTAAAAAAAAAAACAAAAAACAAAAAACAAAACCAGCTTCATATTCCACTGTACCCATGAAGCATTCCTTCCCCTGCCTCTAAAAAGAAAGTGCAGTTACCCTTTAAACCATTCATTGAACATTCTGCTAAACGTTGGGTCCAACTATACATTTAAGTGATGCTGTCTCCAAAATCAGACCGTACATTTTACATATAATGACGTACTTCTTCACATTAAGCCTGTGGCTGAAAACCCGTGAACTAATAATTCTATCTTTAATTCCACAGAATAAAAAGATTTCCCTAAGGCTTTGCATCAGAATAACTCAGACTGCAGCAAACGATAATGGATCTACTTTCCTCAAGACAAATTAACTGCTTAAAAATTTCAAGCTTCTGTTGTGAAAGGATGTGAGAGCTGCCTATACGGTGTAGGCAGGGGCCTCGCAGTGAGAAGTCTTCATCCATGTATCTGATAAAGTTGCTACTTGAGAAAGTATTACCAACATTGCAATGAAGGCATTCCTAAGAGTTCTCCAAGAATTAAACCAACAGTGGAAACGTCACCAAAGAAAATGAGCACCTGTTTCTATAAAATGAGAATACAGGAATGTGCACAGTAATACCTCAAATGGGAATAAACCTGTGCCTCGGGTTTCTATGGGAAATTTCCTTTCTCTGGTCAACCACAGTCTGAACACGAGCAGAAAAAGTGGGGGAGAATTTAGGCACTGTAGCTGAAACATTCCAGTGGCAATGATTGGGTCTTTTTAAAAAATGCATTGACAGTGCAACTGTTGTTAGAATTAAATAACAGAACTGTATCGATATCCACTTTGGACCCTTGACAACAGAGTCAACTGAACAAGTTCACGATGTATACAGCAAGTCCACTCAATCCCCGTGAGAAAGTTTTCACTTTGTTGTTTCAAAAGAATCCAGTACTATCAGTTTGGTACTTACTGTCGGCTGAGGAGTTGAGTTCTGTTTTAATCTTTGATTTTTCAAGATCTTCTTTGTATTCTTTCTTAAGTAATTTTACTATCTTTTTGCTGTAACTTGATTTCTTCACTTTGAAAACTTCTTCATTTTCTTAAAAAAGAAATTAAATAAAGTCTGTAGCGATCATTTTCAGACAGTATCTTCTAACTTCCACATGATCTTATGTACTTTTCTCATTCATCCAGACAGATACTCATACACCCCCAAATCATTACATAATGTGAAGTTATTCCAAATCTGTCACTGGTTCTCAAGAACTGAAGTCAGCTTCATAAATGAACCTCATATAATGCAAACCTGAGACTTCTAAAAACGTGTAACACACGCAGCTGCACGAAATTTTCGTATATCCTGTTGTCTTTTTTAAGTCCTCTATCCCAAGAGGAAAATAAAATCATTGAAAAAGCACTTAGTTACTGCATTATTTAGGTATCTGAAACAAAACATCCAAAATCAAAAGGTTCTGGGTAACAGAGCTGTCAAATCTGAGTAAATCTAGATTCACCACAAACTGACATTATTCCAAGACTAAACTGAGAGCAAAGAACTTTTCAACAATAAGTTTTGGTAGGTATCCACGTCTTTGATTTGAAGAGTTTTAAGTCAAATGCAAACACTTTGCCAAATAGTTTCTGCATTTAAAAAAAAAAAAAAAAATTCTGGCTGTAGTCCCCTCAAACAAAATAAGGAATAACAGACAGGCCAAAGACCAACTGCCTACCTTACTGGAAAGATGAAAGCATCTTGTATGGAGATGAAGATATCTACAAGCCAAGTCTTTTTTTATAACCTGCCCTTAAAACTGGCTTTCATAAACACATACTCAACCGGCTGGGAAGTTAGATTTTAGACTCATTTATGAACAGAAATCTAAATCCACTGCAGCCTGGTTTCTCACACCCCAATGGACACATGGCCTTAAATTACTATTACACCGTCTCTCTTCGTTGTCCAAAACTCAATGCGAGCGAGAAAAAACCGGACATCTGTACCCCTACTTAGTTTCACGGGGAAACTGAGGCTCGGCGATTGCAAGGAACTGGCCCAAGGTCACTCAGAACCAGAGCTTCAGCTCCGGGATTCTGTTCCCAGACGTAGGACTCCATACTAACCCAGCCTTCCTAGTCAACGGTATCAGATCCCCCAAGAGACGGGGGCATAGTGACCTGCAGAAGACTCAGACCGTGCGCAGAGTAGACAGGGGACCAAATCCAAGTTCTCCCTGAAACACCCGCCAGGAAAGAAGCAGGACAGGGGACACTGAATTTCCACTTGAAAACCTCAGAACGACTGAACTGCGCTCCCGCCCCGCAGAGGAGGAAATGCACAAGAGGACGGTGAGGAGGAGGCGGTTGTTAAGAAAAGGCTGGTGGCGGCGCGGGAACACGTCCTCCGCCGGGAGCAGAAGGCCGGAGGCGGAGAAGGATGTGCAGCAGGTCGGGCGCGAAGGGGCTCCGTTCCGGGCTGCGGGGGCTGGACGTCCGGGGAATGCGGGGACTAAAGGCGGGGGCCTAGGACAGGGATGCTAGTCTGGGGCGCGAAGCGCGGCGATTACCTACCTTCCTCCTCGTCCTGGAAGCTGAGCAGGCTGGCCCGAGGCACCTCTTTGTTCTCTCGCGGCCTCTTGCGCGGCTTCAGCCCGTTGCCGGGCTCCGCGCCGCCCGGGAAGCAGCCCCCAGCCTCAGCCCCGGAGCCCGGGGTCAGCGCGGAAGGCGGCGGCAGCCCCGGGCCCTGCAGCGACTCCCCCCCAGGGGCCCTGTCGCCGCCGCCGCCAGAGCCCGGTTCTTCGCCGGTGCCCGGCGGCTGCAGCAGCGGTGGCGGCTCCTGCTCCTCATCGCGCTCTCGCTCCTCCTCCTCCGAGTCATTCCGCTTGCGCACGTTCACTCGCCGGGCCTTTCGGAACATTCCCGCGGCTCGCACGGCGGTCTCACACCCGCTCCCACACGGCTGCCCCGGCAGCTCCAAGCTCGCGACGGCGCACGCGCGCTTCCCGGAGCTCCAGCCGGGTCCTGTCTTCCCTCGTTCTACCGCGCACCACCGAGCGCGCATGCGCTCGCGCTCTCGCTACGTGAAGAGATCTCCGCGTCTCTCGCGAGAACGTGAGCTTTTTGCACCGTCCTCTGTCGGCGTGGAGGACTGCTGGCACGGAACTCTGGGGCTCGGGCCCTACCCGATGGGTCACAAAGAGGATCATAGAGACGAGAAGACAGAGTAAGCGCTGGCGACGGTGCTGCAGTGCGTCTTCCGCACTTACGCAGAGTAGTCACGAGAGGAAACCTCCCGCCAAGCGGTGGGAGGGGCAAATAGAGGAGACGAGGATAGGTGGGGGAGGGGCGGGGGCGGGGGAAGGGGCGGGGGGGGGCGGGGGAGGAGGGAGGAGCCAGAAAGAGAAACCAGGTTTAGGGAGGGAAAGTAGGGTGGGATTGTCTTCCCCAACCCAGGAATTGAGCTGTGATATGGTAATTATTACTTACTGTGTTGAGTCACACTTGGTATTTCTACAGCTTTGTAGCTACAGAGCCCTTCCAAAAGCATTGAATTTCGTTGATGATAAATTGTTTCCCGGCCTGGTATTTTAGCCCCTTCCCACCGAAGGCAAACGTGTTTTAGGGCTTTCGAGAGAACGCCAAGTGTACGAGGCGTTCTGAAACGTAGCTGATTTCAGAAACGGAAGGCAAGTCGATTTGCCGGAGTGGGGATGGTTGTGACACATTTCAGGCTTGCGTCACAAAGGTAACCGTCTCTACTGGCAAGGCCCAAGCAGGGTCCTGACTGTGAGGCCGAACTCACGGGCTTTCCCGTCGAGTCAGCCGACTTTGAGGCCTTTTCCTTAACGGGGGCGCATATATGCGAATTCCTTTTCATGTCTCACAATTCGAAAGGCAACAAAGGGCATTCGCACGGTGCAAAAAAACCCCACCCATCGCTGGAAGCTTTCCAGTTTGGCAGCGGTTAAAAGTTTCTCACGATCCTGAGATTTCTGTGAACAGAGAAGTAAATTATGGATATTTTTTTGTGAATTATCCTTTTTACACAGTGTGTAAACTGTGTTTAGTTTAACATAAATTGGAGATTGGTTGTGTCTGTACGTAAGGTGTTGGCTTTCCTTTTACCCAGCTGCATGCCGATCTACTGTTGGAATGTACCATGATGTATTAAACCAGGACCATAACAATTGATATTAAGGTTATTTCCAATCTTGCTGTAGTAATCAAAGCCACAATGTAAAGCGTGAAACAAATGGTCTCATCTGGAGAATGAACTAGATTTGGAATTGCTAGATCCAAAGGTGTGCATTTGTAATTTTGCTAATTCTAAATTGCTCCTTATAGAGTCTGTGCCAGATTGTACTCTTACCAGCAAATATGAGAGGGCCTATTTTGCCTGCCACATCCTGCCAAGATTTCACTGGAGATTTAAGTTCCAAGTTGAAGCAGAAGATCCCAAGCCCACCGAGAATTTCTACGTCAGGCACATCTGCCTCTTTTCTCTGGTTTTCTTTGATTGGATTTGAGATCTGCCCAGTGGGACCCACTTTTGGAAACTGGAAAGATGATTTAGGCTAAAAGCATCCTCTGTAACGTTTTCTTCCAGTTAATAGGAAAAGTTAGTAATGGCTGGCTCTCTTTCTGCTTGCATTACTCTAAGTTCTTATATTCTGGCTGTTCAGCCTTGATTTATGTTCTGATTCCAACAGAGTGTTTCATTGGTGAAATTGAACCCCAGCTCCCATCACAGAAGATTCAAATTGTGCCTGATCAGCCTCCAGACACCTGAGCCAAGAGACAGATTTGCAGTAATACGATTAGGGTCGAGGTAGCGAACATGGAGTTCAGAGCAGAATATGTTAATACCTTGGCTTAAAACTTCAAAAAGATCTTCCACTGTAAAAGTGGTGGTTGAATATGGAGAACCATAGGCAAGAACACGTGTGATTTTAACATGAGCCAAGATAGTAGACAAAGAATGTATTTATAACTTTGACAGTCTACCTATTCAGATAATTAAAGGGCAAAGTTAAACACTTAAAAGTTATTTTCCCGCACAAGCAAGCCAAAGGTCCTTCTATAGAGGTTGTAGACCTTGTGGGAATTAAATTCCTGACACTGAGTACCTGCTCTGGTTGCCTGTCAACCAGTATATTATCCAAAACTAATGATTTTATAAACTGCTTCTGTGTTTTAAGTATAATAAACTGATTTGTGTATTGAACATACTATGTCATCACCATTCAATATTGGAATGTCTTTAAGTATTCTGGGGAAACAAAGGCAGTTTACCTAGAATTGTTGCATCCGTCATTTCGTTTGAATCAGTAAGTTAGTTCAGTTCTTTTTTAAAAAGTCATCTTTCTAAGCAACAATAGCAACAATTCTGTTTGGGTTCTCTCCCCCCCCCCCCCCCCCCCCCCACTGAATTATGACTTTGCATGGATTAATTGAACCATAAATTCAGATAAAATAGGCAGACCAGTTTTGTGTTGTTTGCTGACTCAGTATTAGACTCCGTATTCTAGAACAATGGTTATGAAATGCAGGTCTGTGAACCTGTGAAAAGTTTTCCTGAGTCAGCTGCCAAATGAGAAGAGGAAAAACAGTCTGTCTGTGTAGAGGAGCCAGATGTCCTTTCTTGGGAGAAAAAAAATGGTCCTTTATTCTGAGACTGTCTTACTTTTTCCATGTTAACATTCTAAAATCTCTGGGCACCTGGGTGGCTCAGTTGGTTAAGCGTCAGACTTCGGCTCAGGTCGTGATCTCCCAGTTCGTGGGTTCGAGCCCTATGTCAGGTTCTGTACTGACAGCTCAGAGCTTGGAGCCTGCTTTGGATTCTGTGTCTCCCTCTCTCCCTGCCCCTCCCCTGCTCCTGCTCTGTCTCTAAAAATGAATAAACATTAAAAATGTTTTTTTAAACAGTAAATCTCTTCTATGAAACTATGATGGTATATGATAGTGTATGTGTTTGTTTTTGCATTTTTTATTTGGCAAACTAAAAAGTAGTGAAAGCTATGAATCCTCCTAAATTTTTTGTTTTATCTAAAAATCTTATTTCACAGGTGAAATCTCATAGTCTAGGAATGCTTGATCTAGGAATTTTTCTTTTCTTTCTAAAACTATAACTCAATAATTCTATTCTGGAAAAAAATCACTTAATAATTTAAATATCCTTAGAGCTTGCATTGCTGAAGGCAGTTCTTCATTAACTAAAGTAAAATGTAAGCTTTGTAAGAGAAGAGAGTTTCTGTTTTGTTCACTACTATCTTCACAGGACCTATAGTAGCACTGGCACACGATAGGCATTAAATATTTGTTGACTGAATGGTACTAAACATTATCTGTTTATTTAATTAGTGATAAATGTTTTATCCTATGTTGATACAAATTAAAATTTTCTATAGCTTATATACCTTTATTCTCAAAACAAGATCACAATACGTTTGTTACAAATTAATGAGTAGACGAGTTCTTAAAGCGGTAAGTTCCCATCAACCTTTGAGAACTGCCTCCTGTAGGGAGAAAGGCACTCCCCACCTAGCAAAGGCTGGAAGCCTGGGCACCGATGGGCACCTGATCCAAGGTGGGCCAATCAGATTCTCCCAAGATTTTGCCCTTGAAACCCAGACAATGAGTCCCCGCCTGTGGCTGGAATTGCAATGAACTTAAGAGCCCAAGAAAGCCATAAATTACCATGTCAATTCAAAAGCTGAGAAAACTAGTGTGTGTAGTGGGAGAGAAGAATGAAGCAGATGTGCTAGAAAGTAGAAGACAAAACAGCAAGTGGGATTCTTACGTCTTCCCTAGTTCTTGTTCTCACTGCTTCTTGAAGCAGGACAGCACTCCTGGCTGTCACAGCTGGCTCCCTGAGATGCCCCCAGAATCCTTAGAGTAAATTTCTTTTTGGTTTTGTTGCTGTTGAGCATGTTTTATTGCGTGTGTGTGTGTGTGTGTGTGTGCTTAAAATAATTCATGTTTGTTTCCATTGGTTAGAATCAAAGAACACTTAGGACCAAAGAATTCTAATAAAGTAACTAACAGTTTAATTTTGTAGCAGTGTTAATTTTAGCTGGCAATTTATACAAGTGTGTTTTTTTAATGTTTACCGGCTTAATAATTCTTTAGCTTTACTGTAGTTTTTTAGAGAGTTTTATTTCTTTTTTTTTCCTTTTGTCAAGATATCCATAGAGATATGTTCATTAGCATTTAAGTCACAAGCAAATGTGAAGAAAGCTCTTTATCTTGCAAGTATATAGTTATTACAAGTACAGAGAAATAGTACTCCATCCAGAGCATGTGAATGATCCTAATAAAAATGTTAGATAATTTCTCAATTCTTTGTCTCAAACTTCTGTTGAAATGTAGTCATTATATCTACTTCCTTAAGATTATCTTTCCTTTCAAACCATTATTATTGATGGATTCAGATTAAAGGATTCAGCATTTTTTTTTTTTTTTTGGCCACATTAGAATTTTCCGTGGAGAGACACTCAACTTTTTAGAATGTTTTGACAATTCAACTATAATGGTTTATTCCTTCGTTTTCTGAATTGACAGTTTCTTCAACAAAAAGAAAGTGAAATTTCTTTTCATCCAAATTTAGAGTGTCATAATAAAAGTAAACAATGTTTTATTTCCTTGCATGGAAATATTGAGCTTATTCAGTATTTTAAAAATACATCTGCTATTTAGACCAAATAATTCTAGTATTATCCATTTATTCAGCACAACTTATTGAACATATGCTTCGTTCTAGGCATCGTGTGAGGCAGTAGAAACACAACAGTGAGCAAGACAGATATGTTCCTTTTTCCTTCCAGACCTGTATTCAGGTGCTGGAGACAAACAAGTAAATAAAATGTAATTACTAACTGCAGTTAATATTATGAATAAATCAATAGGATACTACATCTTAAGAAGCACAAATAT